CCAGAATTCCCCAGCCAGCAAATGCTGGCTGGGGAATTCTGGGAGTTGAAGTCCGGACATCTTCAAGTTGCCAAGGTTGAGAAACACTGATCTAGGAGTTGAAGTCCATACATCTTAATGTTGCCAAGGTTGAAAAACATCGTCTTAAAAGGTTTCCCCTCACCCTCTTTTTCACCCTCCCCAACACATTTATTTTGTTGTGTTTTATGATCCTGGACTCGAGAAAATTTCTGTTTTCTCATTACAGATGTGGGACCAAATAGGGCGAGTTTGCTGTGAGGAAATGCAAGCAAACAACAACAATTTCAAACAAAATTGTGATGACAGGTAAGGGAAGAAAGCGAACAACCTGAAATCCAACATCTTAAATGATGGTGATGGCGATGATAATAACCACTACTATCAGGTTAAGCAAAGATTGTTTTAATACAGCCCTAAGTTATATATGTTATAGTACATATATGGATCTATCTGAGACTGTCGCATTGAATAGAATGAAATGGAAGTTACTAAAATTTATCTCAGTATGTTAATGTATTAAATATTAATATTTGACAATTTAATAACACCTAAAGGACGGTACTAGGTTATTTAGGATGCTGAATTCTTTTTGGACAATAGGTATCATCTATTACTTCCAGAGAATAAAAATAGCAAGTACCTACGTATATAGAGAGGGAGTGTATGTATGTATTTGTAAGAAATAGCTAACCTTCCTTCTCTCTTTTTAACAGAAGAAAACGCAATAACTACACCAATACACTTAAGGAATTGGCCCAGATGTTACCCATACCATTACGGACCAGTTGTAAGAGGTTGACAAAGGTATTATAATAATAGAATTTATCATAAATGTTCAAGGAATGTTCTGTAATTTTAGATCTACACAGACATTGAAATTGGTCCAAGTTGCACAACAGATTTCCTGTGTGTACTGATTCCAAACTGAACTGAAAATACAAATGACAGATGTGTCTTTTCCTGTTTCTGCTCTTTAATTTTGTGCTTTTAAATATTCAACCAGAAAGAAATCCTGCTCCGAGTCCTTCGCTACATTGAACATCTGCAGACAAGCATCGACAAAGCCAGGTCGCTGCTCCAAGGTCGTGGCCAGGAACAAAAAGGTAGGGAAATGCCAGAATAGAGGCAGAGAACACCTATGGTCAAACACTACAGAGGATATGCCTGAGCAAAAATTATGGCCTGCATTTTTTTCTTTCGTCAAAAGCATTTGGATCTCAGCAAGTGGTGATACCTGCCCTGAAGAGAGAGCGCAGAGAAGTCACACCACGGGCAAAAAATCCCAAGCCTCTTGCAGTCTACAAGAAACCCAGAAAGAGGAGACGGGCCCGCAAATCAGGTCTGGGAAGTATTCCACAAGTTTGGGGTTTCCAGTCTTGATACTTCAGTGTGTTCCGGTTTGTGGGTTTTTATTCCTTCCTCCGCATGATCAGCCATTGCAGCACTGCCTGTTACAGCCCATGAACCTCACATCCATTTATGGCTTCAGTAGTTTTAGACATTTCCTTATCCTCTCTTTGGTCAAAAAAAAAAAAGCCCTTCTGGATTCTCTTTTTCTAAGTCAGGCTAAACCTGGCTGGATGGTTTGCAGCCCTGGAGGGCCAAACTAGGTTTTTTTTTTGAATAAGCCATGATGGTCTGGGGGTGCATGGCACCACTGATCGTGGTTTATACGTCACAAAGTGCGGATAAGAGTT